AAAAGCATTACACGTTGTCTGCAACTGACAACTCAGTGCATAACAGTCACCATTCACCAATTTATTTATTATTGATCTGCCTATACCAACCTGCATTGAATAAAATTACTAGATGATATATAAATATTTATTTCCATTTGTATGATTATATAATGGCATACGACAACATCAATGAGAGGTTTTCTCAGTTGTAATACCACTGGCAATGCCTGCCATTTTTATCACCCATCTTTTTCACTCTGCAGTATATGATCAGATGATGGACCATTATAGTTTCCTTCATTTACTAGCATAGACTAAACAAAAAAAACATCAAATACATAAATTGAATAGCAAAAAAAACAAAAAAGTGAATTAATTAACTTACCCATATGGTGAATATATCATAGGAGTTGCAGGTGGTGGAGGTAGTGGCAATGGTGGTGGTGCTGCTGGTGCCACCCCACTATAAGATGATGATGTTGGTCCTTGCGGTATTCCTCCTCCTTGATAAGGATTCCCTCCTTGTCCCCTACCTATCATAATTAAGACATTTTAAGGTTATTTATTATTTCATCTAAAATATATTATGATTAAAATGTGGTGGTTCTTTTATCGAGAAATAAAGTTTGACTAGTCAAATAAACAATCAAACAGAAAAGTTGAGTACCTCGAGGTGGTGAAGGACGAGGGCGTCCAAGAGAAGCAATGTTACAGTTTGCTCTTCTCCCATCAATTACTGGGTTTGGATTCTCACATGCTCTTCTTGCTGATTCTGGATCACGATAAGTAACCTGTGTCCGTCCACACAAAATCGTATATACATTATTTTGATCAGCAAATTAAATCACATAATGTGAGAAACAATAATAGAACTTACGAAACCATAGCCTTTAGATTTGCCAGTGTTCTTGTCAGCAATGATAACAGCTTCAAGAATCTCTCCAAATTGCTCGAAATAACGTCGCATTATATCAGTTGGTGTTTCCCAAGCCAACCCACCAACAAAGACTTTTGTGTAAGTTGTATCCCCAAAGGGCGATCGATAATGCTGATAAGCCATTGCATATATCTAAAACTTCAACTGCATAAAAATGTAAGGTTGTTGTTTGACTTGTCCCTTAAGCAAAGAAAAACAATGAATTAACCCTGAATATTATTCACAATATCCAATGGCTAGGGCGTTGTGTTGTTAGCAATGGCATAACTCATGTACCACCTTCTTCTTTCTCTTGTATAATGTTTTTTGCCTTTGCTAGCTTTTTCTCTCTCTATCTTGCAGCAGAAAAGGATCATGGAGAGAGAAATAAAAGGGTAGGAACAAATATAGCTTAGTGATGTTTATAGCTATTGTTTTGGCTAATATGTTTAACAAATAAAAATGTTATAAGAGGAGAGAGGGATTCGACAGCTGCAAACCCTTAAGGTAGAGGGGAGAGAGGCAGATGCATAGCCACAATTTAAAGTTTATAAATTCTGAATTTGTTATTATGTCATCGTTTTATTTATTAGGTTTACAATCAGATATTTATACGTAATTAATGAATTTTTTAATACAAATACAAAATTTAAAAAAAGTTACTGAATTCGTCCGAACACGTAATCAACATTATAGCTCAGCCCCTAAGAGGAGTGGGGTGGGGGTAATGGCTTTGGGTAACGAATGACAGCTGCGAGACTAGAAGCACTTGACTCTGTCCTCTCTGTCTCAGCATTAAAATACCCTCCCCTTCCCATCGATAGTCTTCTATGTTCTTTCTCATCTCTAGTTGTCTTTGCGTTCTCTTCTTTCTGTTTTCTTTTGCATAATTTGGCCTCTGTCTTAACTCTTAACTCTTTCCAACTTATCATTCCTTTCATTTCTTTTTACATTATTGTATTATGTAATAATTGTTCTTATTCCATTTTATAATCAAGATTTTGTTGAATATATAGGAATAGTAGTATTATTTTAGTTTGTGTAGTATATGTTTGTGAATTTTGATGATAGTGGGGGTCCACAATTTTTAGGATTATATAAAACTTTTAGTATCATTATTGATGACGTTGTACTAGTTGCAAGACCAGTTGGGAGAATCGTATTCCCTCATTTGGTTAAACTCTAACGACTACCCACATCTGGTTTTTATTGTGCACTAACCAAACTAAGGCCTTCACACTCAATGGTCCACTTTCCCACCATTTACGTACCGAGATTGTGGTTTATAACATGGTTATTTTGAGCCATTTTGCCTTTTTCTCTTCCCGTTTTGTTTTTGTTTTTAATATTAAATCTTTTCGTTTTAGATATTAGCACGCAAGTCATTTGTTTAGCAAAAGGTTCTATTTACCCTCGAAATATTTGTCTTACATTTGTAGGCCATTAACCAAGCGATTCATGAAAGTTTCCACCCTTATTATTCGTCTCAAATATATTCAACAAATTATAAATTTACCCTTAATGCACTTTCATAATGGTTTGTGTACCCTCTGAAATAATCAAAGCAGCCTTTGAATATTGAAAAAAGTTCAAATATAACCCTATTATACATGGTATTTATCCTATCAATTAAAGTCGATTAAATTTTTCACCGTGAAAAAGTATTAGTAGGAGAGACATATTTGAGACGAAAAATAAGAAAGGGTCTTTCATGGACTAATAGGTAAACGGAAGACAAATGTAAAACATATCGCAAATATATTTAACAGTATATTTGGACCTTTACATTTGTTTTAACTTTGAAGTACATAATTATATATAGAAACCGTAAATGTGCTGTCTTTGTGACAATGGTCCGATGCTTTCATGGCCAATTCAGGGTGATTGGTTCTATATATGATTAAAATAGACTATTATCAAAAGGAATAGAGAATAATATTCCAACACATCACCCCATGTTCTCTTAACGATTCCAATATTCATAAGATGTTACATGGCCAACTGTCCTAACAGCCAAGAAAATACATGGTGATAGAACAGTTAAGATCCCTTTGACCTAGTAGTAGCCTGGCTCTGTTATTATAATACTATTCCCTCCGTTTCAATTTATGTGAACCTATTTCTTTTTTGGTCTGTGCCAAAAAGAATGACCACTTTCCTTATTTGGAAAAAATTTACATTTATGCAATGATTTATAGCCACACAAAATATATGTGCCTCATTTTACACCACAAGTTCAAAAATCTTCTCTCTTTTCTTAAACTCTGTGCCCAGTCAAATAGATTCACATAAATTGAAACGGACGGAGTATTATTTTATAGACCTATCAGATCATTCGGATTCCGGAAAGGAAAAAGATGAAAAGAAACCAAATGAGCGGCTGGCGATGATACCGAAAGTCTCTGGACTTAACTGCAAAAAGACAACTATAACTAAACCGTTAGTATAATGATTAAACAGTCAAAAGTTTCAGTCAAACCCCATTTAGAAAAAATTAATTTTCCAGGCTAATCTTGTTTTTTGTTTTTTAATTTCTATGTTAGTGGAAGACCATAATGTTCTCCACATCCNCAGCCAAGAAAAAACATGGTGATAGAACAGTTAAGATCCCTTTGACCTAGTAGTAGCCTGGCTCTTTTATTGTAATATTATTATTTTATAGACCGATCAGATCATTCGGATTCCAGAAAGGAAAAAGATGAAAAGAACTCATTCTTTCTCATTTATACTCTTTACCAAATGAGCGGCTGGCGATGAAACCGAAAGTCTCTGTACTTAACAGCAAAAAGACAACTAATAACTAAACCGTTAGTATAATGATTAAACAGTCAAAAGTTTCAGTCAAACCCCGTTTAGGAAAGTTAATTTTCCAGGCTAATCTTGTTTATTGTATTTAAAATACTATGTTAGTGGAATACCATAATGTTCTCCACATCCTCTCTCTCTCCAATATATATGACTGCACGCAGTGGTCTGGTTTCATCAAATACGAGTAGATGACTTTGAAAAATTCATCCGCTAGCTGCCTCTGCCTTGGAATCAGGCTTTTGTCAATTTAGTGCTTCATAGTCTTGTTCTTCTTCGTATTTGAAAAACATTTCATTTTAGATGTATTATAATCCTACTATACATAAGCACCTCTGTCCTTGCATTTTGCTTTCTCGATTATCTCTTCAAAATTAAAAAAAAAAATTATAGAATAACATACATTTCCAATGTGGAAAATTAAGTAAATGAACTTTGTTTAAGATAACCAATATATACAAAAGAATAAGCTGCTTTAATACTGTTAGGTATTTGTCTTGCTTTTCTTCCATATTTAATTTTCGTATTTTTTGAAGAAAAAGACAACATATTTACCATAATTGAATTTTTCTTCTTGTAGAATGAAATTATAAATCTCTCATATTTGGCTAGTCATTTTTCTTGTAGGAAAAGGTTTGGACTTCTATAAATTGAGGATCTCATTCAGTAGCATCCACGATGTAGTCATATGGGGCACGAGAGTCATGTTTAAGGGGAGGATATCGGGGCAGTATTAGCCTGCCACTTGTGTTTGTGTCACGACTCAGATTTTCCATCGTCGAGACCGTGATGGCCCCTAACCTTTTAGTTGCTAGGCAAGCCAACAATTAGAAATTAAATACGCTAACTCTTAAACGATTCAGTAAATAACATCAATTATATCATAATAGATTAAAGAAGTGCGGAAGTTCATAATAACCCAAATATTTATAGATAACTACCCAGAATCTGGTGTCACAATTCACGAACTTCTAAGAGTTACTATAAATATTGGCTGAAGGAAAATATAACTGTTTTCGAATAAAAAAAACAGTAAACTGAAATAACTGGAAGGGGACTCCAGGGTCTGTGAATGCCGCCAGATCTACCTTGGGTTTCCTGAGGGATTGAAGTCAGCAGCGCAACTCGGGTCAACACGGTCCAGTACCGAAATCTGCACAAAAAGTGCAGAGTGTATTATCAGTATAACCGACCCCATGTATTGGTAAGTGTCGAGCCTAATCTCGGTAAGTAGTGACAAGGCTAGGACAAAACACATACATAAACATGTGTGGTTAAACAGCATACGAGCAATAACAACTAATAGAATCTAAAAAGATATTAACGGGAGGGGGGAAAACATGCTGAGGGGAGTACAAGATCATGAAAATGATAACAGTAAAGAAACACAGCAAACAACATGCTTTGCACCAATGGAAATATTAAACATAGCAAAAAGAAGTGCATGGCATCACCCTTCGTGCTTTTACTCTCATCCTCACCATAATAAATGAAAGAAACGATGATAATGAATATAAAATGGCATGGCATCACCCTTCATGCTTTACACTCTTCCTCATATGGTAATGAATATGAAATCGCACGGCATCACCCTTCGTGCTTTACACTCTTCCTCATATGATAATTAATATACAGATGGCACGGCATCACCCTTCATGCTTTACACTCTGCCTCACCAAATAAGAACAATAACAACAGGGAGATAGAATTATCAATAACAAGTCTCACTTCAACATTTAGTTCCACAATGTCAACCTCAACTTTGAGTCAATACTCAATCAATATCAAATTCCGTAAAACATGTTAAGAGTTGCTCAACATAAAGAATAACTAGTTTAAGCATGGACAATATGACTAAAGAATAACATGATTACAAGAATTAGACTCACTCGCGTGCTATGACTTGACAACAATGCATAGGTACTCGTCACCTCACCTATACGTTGTACTCAATAACCAAATACGTAACAAATAGGCAACAATACCTAATCCCTCAAGCGAAGGTTAGACACAACACTTACCTCGCTTGAACGACCAACTCAAAGCTCAACCGCCGCTTTTTCCTTCACACAAGCCTCCGGACCAATAGAATCTAGCAAATTACCAACAAAACAATTCAATTTAAGCCTTAGGAACTACCTACGATTGCAAAGAATTCAATTTAGGCCATTTTTTAAAAGGCAACAAAAGTTAACACCCTAACCCGCTTGGCCCAAACCAGAAAATTGGACCAAAACTCGATTACCCATTCACTCCCGAGCCCGGATATATAATTAATTTTGTAATCCGACCTCAATTTGAGCTTTAAATCCCCAAATTTTGAAATTCCTAGTTTCTACCCAAAATTTCCCAATTCTACCATGAAAATCTTAGATTTTAGGTTGAAATCTTGTAAAATGAAGGGAATGATTGAAAGAAACTAGTTAAGAATCACTTACCTATGATTTGGGGAAGAAATGGCATTGAAAAATCTCCTCTTGTGTTTTAGGTTTTGAAAATTTGAAGAATGGATGAAAAATCTCATCTAAGTCCCTTTTACACAACTGCAGATGTCGCATTTGTGACCTGAGCTTCGCAATTGCGAAGCTCACAAATGCCAGAAAACCATCGCATGTGCGAGGCCTCTCACACTCCTGCTTCCTTCGCAAAAGTGAAGAAATGCTCGC